CTCATGAAACAATGTGTAAACATCTAAGGAATATGGGAAAACTCCTTAAAGAAGGTGTTTGAGTGCCTCACAAACTCTCCATTTCCAATGTGTGAACGTTGCTTTGTCTTTTCTGGTGCGTAATACGCATGAACCATTTTTGGACGGAATTGTCACCGGTGATGAAAAATGGCTCAGTCCTAGACAAAACCACTTCTGACCCCAAAACCTGGACTCCATCTGCAGAAAGTGATGCTTTGCATTTGGTGGGACATCAAAGGAGTAATTAATTTCGAACTCTTCAATTACAGTGAACTGTCAATGCATAGATCTATAGTCAGCAACTGGAACATTTAAATCAAGCCCTTCATCAGAAATGCCCTTCACTCATCAATTGGAAAGGTGTTCTTTTTCTTCACTACAGTAATAATCTTGGTATAAAAGTTATCTATTTAATGATGAAATATTATTTTTGTTTCACATAACTTATGTAATAGTTTCCCTTTGCATAGTATGTCTTGAAGCAGGGAGCTGTGCAATCAGTTCAAAAAAAGTCATTTCTGAAGAAGAGTTCAAATTGTTGAAAAACACTTTTTTCATCCTGAATAGAAATCTGCATCCCACTAAATATACAAAACTCAAATCTAGCTCTTTTTCCACTTCTAAAAGTCAAGTTATCATCAAAGCTCAATATGAGAATCACTTTCTTCACTTGAAATTTCCAAGTGACATTTTGAGTTAATCTGAGTGTCTTACAAAAAACTCCAAGTCTCATTCTCTTCAACTTCATCAGATGAATTATCACTAACTGTGGTTTCATTTACGTTCTTCACATATCCATGTTTCGTGGGAGTGACAATGTTTGTTAACACTTGTCAAAAGAATTATTAGCTGAAAATGCATTTCTGGACAAAAGTTGAGTTGTGTGCCATATCTGAGATGAAAGTGTAAGAGGGGGGCTAAGAGATCACAGAAGAAACTTGATGAACAAAATGAGCATTTCAGTTTCGATGGCTTTTATATATATTACATACACACACACAGAGATTCATACATAAAATTTGGGTATCTAAACATAACTTACGTTGTAAGAAACATTTTTCAAACGTATTTTTGTACTTCTAGTTAATATGATGTTGAAAATAGTAAAATTTAAAAGTGTCACTTCTCACAGATGTGTGTATGTGGTTTATCATGCATTTGTTTAATAGTGAAAGAGTTAAGCTATTTTTCTCTGTTTTTTTCTTAATGTGCAAATGCATATGGGCATTTGTTAAGCTTAGTACTAATTTGTGCTAATGTTACATCTCATTATTCTTCTGTATGCTTATGCTAGTTATGGAAAGAAAGCAATAAAGCTGCATCCAATATAATATGTTATAAATCATACCAATAAAACTGTCATTCAATCTTTTATTAGGTTTAAAGTGTAACTATAATCATCCATAAATTTATGAAATGTGAAAAATATACCAGTGTCTTTGATCGCAAAAAACAGGTTTTTGTGCACCAGCATTATAGAAAATTAATGTGTAAATTTATATGCCTATGTTTGCATTGTTGCATTAAGATCCATGATTAGTCAAAATTTCCAAAATAATGCAAAGCCTAACAGTATATTGGAAATCCAGCACTGCCAAACCAAATGTGGGCCATCATGGTGACATCAATCTAAAGGCAATTTTATTCATGTTCGGCTTAGATCTGTTTGCTTATAGCAAGGAATCTTATATACATTGTAAACCATGGTGTCTATCCGTACATTTGTCTGTTTCCCATTTACAGCAGCCGCTTCCTGCACTGTGGTCGAAAAGCTGCACAAGCAGGCAAAACTCAACATTCACTTTTGAAATGATGGGAGAAAAGGCATGAATAATGTTGATGCCAAATTTTATTTTGCAAGCAGAATATTCTACAGTAAGTTGGTGGGAATAATCACACGATCATTCACATTTCATAATGTGACATAACTTAAAGAATAAAAATGTAGATATACTGTATGTTATTGTTGAATGCGGTGGGTGGTATATGTAGCTCAGAGCTATGATTCTGAGTGAAACCAAAAGTGAAACACAATTAATTTTTTGAAGTCCATGAAATAATTTAAATTGATAAATTAACATAAACATTTTCCATCACCGGAGAAAATTACTTTTGCTTGTTCTCTATAAACTTCTAGGAATCCTGCTAAAAAAAGGTTTCACATATTGAAACAATAATAGCAAAATTATAATGATGCATACTAATACATGTATATTATGATAAAAATAAGGATTCTCAATGAATAAATAACAATACTTAATAAAATTAATCTCACCATAAATCTTATTAGATAATAAATTCTACCAAGTTTTCAAAATTAACAGCATTACATAATAATTCAGTACATTTGAGCATTGAATATAATGTTAAAATACCAATATAAAATGAACTTTGTTTGTGTTGTGAATCTCATTTTTATTTCTATCCCCACCCCATCTGTAAGCTTACAAAATGCAAGGCCAGTGTAGTTTTAAAACAAGCTGGTTTTCACATCAAAACATGAGGAATGGTTATAGAGAGATTTGCACCTAAGGAAAGCAAAATGTGAACCAGTCATTTGTTTCTTCTTATGATGTTTTAAAATGAGAAGTTTTATGGACTTTGAGAACTATTGACTGTTATGGTTTATTTCATTCAAATTAACGGATTACAGAACTTATTGAGAGTATGTCCCTCACTAGTGAAATTGCCAGTTTTCATTTAGGAAGACAAAACATCATACCTAGCTGTACATGATTAAGCTCCATATTTCACTCCTCACTGAAGCAGAAAATTCAGAAGTTTGATGAATAAGTCCCTCAGGATATATCAGTGTGATATTCATGCTTGCTTTGGAGTGAAACATTTATCCACACAAGATACCTCAAATCAGAGTTCTTAGGACATGCTACTGCCACTGATCTATTTGACAAGCTGTTTTCTGTTGTCACAGACCTTGGTTACAAAAATTTGTTACAGATATCCATAGATGGCCCCAATGTTAATTGGAAATTACATGAAAGTTATCAACCGAAGCTAATAAACTCAACAAAAAATAACGTGTTGTAAGTTGGGTCTTGTGGTTTAAACACAATTCACAATGCTTTTAAAGATGGGTGTAAAGCAGCTGACTGGAAACTTGAAAAAACTTTGGCAGATATCTACTATTTTTCAATAATTCTCCAACAAGAGTTGATCATTTCAAAGGTGAGACTTGATGCTCGGGCCTTCTACCAAAGTTTTGTAAGCACCGATGGCTAGAGAACATGTACCTGCTACTTCATCTTAAAACACGTGGATATGCATAAAAGCCCACCAAAATTGAAGTCGTATGATAGTATTTGTGAAGCTGTTAGTTCACATCTCTTCATCCCCAAGACACAGATTTTCTTTTAGTTGCTGAAGAAATTGAATCTTTTCTCAAAAAATTCCAAGATGATAAACCAATGTTGCCTTTTATGGATGCAGATCTCTTTGGTCTTTCAGTGGATTGTTGAAAAGATTTAAGTAGAAAATAATACTGGACCACAACATGTTGCCAGCCTGGATTTGACAGACAAAAAGATTTTAAAGGAACCTTCCACAATTGATACTGGATTTGTTAAAAGAAAGTTCTTAATGATTTAAAGAGGGCTTCAAAGAATTAGTGATAAAGACTTGCTAAGCTATTGACTTGAATGCAGACAGTTCCTCAAGGCTGTTGTGAAAATTAATCAGAAATCCACCTTAACTGATAGCATGGTAAAGAACATGAGCTGCTTGAATACAGAAGTGATGCTGTTAAAGGCATCATCAAGTGGTGTTATGTTTTCTTCTTGTCTAAAAAGTCTGGTAAATGTAGGCAAGAGTGAAAGAAAGGTACATTGACACTATTCTCAGGCGGTGCAAATAGTTTCTCATGACATCCCTGCAATTGCCTAGCTCAAGAGTTTGTATGTTTCAGAGAGAGTATGACAGACTAGATACTCTATACAGTGGAATACCAATTATCTGAACACCAATTATCCATATGTCCATTATCCAGATCAAATTTTGAAAATTAAAAATATGTATATATGTATTTTCTTTATAAAAAAAAAACACAAATGTTACACGTATTCTGACATGCTTGAGTCACTTTGAAGCAAATGGTAGATCTCGCCGCATAACCATCAGTTGCGACATTAGCCTTATTGAGTATGGACATGCTTTATGTTTACTTAAAAATTAAAGATGTGTGTTTATTTTTTTTCAATCAAATTTGCTCTTTGTTGGGTTGTCTACAAAATGCAAAAGAGTGGTTCTTTCATTGACTGACAAATTGTTAACAAGTTAGAAAAAGGTGAATCTTGGAAAGAGTTACTAGAGAAATATGGTGTTGATACTTCAAGAATATCAGACAATAAAAAAACTTGTGACTCAATTCTTAATTTTGTTTCTGTTTTGCAGAAGGAGGATGGAAATTCAGTGTGGAAAGCAATTAAAAAATGAGAAAGTGGCCATTGCTGTTTACATGTGGTTTTTACAAAAGCAGTCACTTAGTCAGCCCATTTCAGATCCTGTTCTTTGTGAAAAGGCTGTAAGTTTTAATGAAAAACTTTATGGTAATCCAGAATTCAAGGCAAGCTCAGAATGGCTAATAAACTAAGTTGCAACATGGCACATGTGTACTGGAAATTCATGGCGAAAAGCTTTCAGCCGACTTTTCAGAGGCTGATAATCTTGTAAATAAACTAGAAATGTTGATTCATGAAGAAATGTATGATAATGACTTCATCTATAATGTAGATGAAACCAGGCTTAACTGGAAAAGTTCCAAACAAATTACTGACATCACAAAGAGAGGCAGCTGCACCAAGTTATAAAATGTCCAAAGAGATAGTTGTGATTTTGGTATATATTAATGCCATTGAAAATTGCAAGTTACCTTTGCTACTCATCAGAAAAAACTTGGGCATTCAAGAATGTGAAAAATTTATGTGTTATTTATAACAATTGGAGTAAAGTGTGGATGAATGCTCAAGTGTTTCTGGAAAAGTAAGGCAAAATCACAAACAATCTTCATTCCTGTGGTTAAAAAAATACCAAAAGAAAGTTGTAAAAGTCAAAAATGTTTTGTTTTTTCTAGACAATGTATTGTCTCATCCCTCATTTGAACTTCTGGAACATGCTGGCAGTATGTTTTAGGTTATATCTCTCTCACTGAATGTGACTTCTGTAATGCAGCCAATGGATCAGGGAGTGATTGAAACACTTAAACATCTACAAAAAAAAAATACAACTCCTCCGAAGACTTATTGGACAATGTTGACAAAGTAAGCATTATAGGGTTTTTAAAAAATCTTGATCTTAAAGAATGTTGTTGCATGGTGGCTGATTCTTGGAATTCTTTAAAGGCATGGAGAAAAAAAATTTAAATTGCATCTAAAGAGGAAGTCGGAGACAAAAAAGTATTGTCAGTGACATAGCGATAGTAGAGCTAAAAGAAATCCCTGGATGCTCAGATTGTGATTTAGATGTCAGAGAGTGGGTAAACTGTGATGCTGATGACCTCGGTTATCAACTATTAACAGAAGAGGAAATTGTCAAAGTTATACAAGAAGAGGAGGAAGAATCTCAAGAAGATAAGGAAAATGATGATAAAGATTATAATAGGCAATCACATGATGAGGCTTTCAAATGCTATTTGAAACAAAAGATGTACTGTGTAAAACAGAAGAAAACTTGCTTAATTTATTTGATACAAGTATGTGGCCTATAAAGTTCTCTAAGAAATACTTTTAAGCCCCAGTTCAGGATATAGTAAAACAGATTTTATTTTTATAAAGTGATCAAAATATACATATAAGTATGGTTTGTGTAAAAATGTGAGTTATGCCTATTTAATACATTTTTGTTGAAATGAATTATTGCCCTCAATAAATTGTTGATTTTGTTATTAAAACATTTTTTTTCAGCCAATCCTTTATTTTCTATAAAGAAAAATGCTGTTCATGACACTACTAAAAACTTGTCATTGTAATATATTTATATGAAAAACTGGCAAGGAATTGTTGCTATAGGTTTATATCTTCCATATTCTCAAATCATGAATTTTTTAATGGATTTTAATTTAGCATGTTGAACATAAACAATAAATGAAATTTGTAGATAAAAAAATGTAGCTTTATTAAAACATAGTTGTTTAGAATTATGTTTTATATGTATTTATAAAACAACTATTTTAAATATTCTTATGTAAGTTTTTCTAATATTGAATTATTTGTCATATGTTTAATGTTTCTGTTTTAGAGTCAAAGTTAGAAGATTTTCTGCACAATGATCTTGCTGTTAAGTCTAAAAGTCAAGGATGGGCCATGTGGACATTGAGGAATGGTTTACAAAGTTTACCAGAAGCACTAGTCAGACAGTTAGAGAGTGACAATCTTGTACAGATTTTAACAAATGCTCCATGCAAAAGAATAAATTTTGTAGATGGTAAAGCTATGGTGAGTGAAATGGTTTAATATATACAACCCATTTTGCATAATTCTTTTATTATTTTTTGTTGGGAATTGATACATTACCATTTCTTCTGTTGCATTTATAAACTATAATCTATATACTACTAAAATATCTTTAAAATATCTTCTATACAACAATATATGCACAACAGAAATTAAGTGATGAGATGAAAATATGTTGTAATGGCGCATATAAAGAACAATAATAAAATGGACCTACAATATTATTGACTATTTGCAAATAGTAACTATGGAGATGAGGTAACAACAACAACAAAATTTTATAAACGAAAACCTCTCGAGGAGCATTGGCTATTATATTATTTCCCTGTCAATGTTCCCATCTTCATTAAAAGGCGTAAGATGACAAAAACAAAATCTTGAAGAATCTATCTATATACTACTAAAACTATGAGATTGTTTGTTTGTCTGTAATTAAATACATCAAAAATGACGCACAATAGCACCATATTTGTAAGGTTATGGTACCCCTGAAATGAGAATAGAAACAGAATATGGCTTATATGGCCATATCCAAAAGTAGAATGCTTTAAACACAGTGAGCAGATCTTTACAGTTGAATAAGATTTGTTTCAATAATTGTTCAACAACGGGGTTGAATCTGACATATCATTGTTATGTTTGCAGAATGAGAGAATAATACATTTTGTAGTAAGTGATAGCTATATTAACAAATTAAATAAGCACGTAAAGGGCAGTATTTAGTTATGATCAGGAAATTTTAATATTATGAATAATGCAACATCTTCTTACACTTCTGCCTCTACATATTTTGAGTTCTGAACCACCAGTAGCCATTTTGTCAAACATAAATTATGATTTTGAATGAATTGATATCTGTACAAATCACACTTCCTATTTGTATGTATATATAACCTGCACTTGTAGGTAAATTTTTTTATTCAGAAACACTACTTACCTCTCTCCACTACAAAGGACATGCAACTGACATGGAATGTTTTGTACATACCACAAGCCTTGAACAGAGTCTTGCCCCAACATGTGTTTATGTGTATTGTCCCACCCTATGACATAATCATTATAGTGCTGTAGCTCTTTGCCAATAGGAGGGCAACACAACCTGCTTGTAAGGTAATCCTCATAATCACTAGCACATGATCATAGGCTCATTCTTTCCTCAGACTACCTGTATTTAGATGTGTTTTTTTAGTGTCTAGTTGCTTTGATCAACTGCCTTTCTTTTTTAGTTCTACATTATTTTGTCCTCATTGCACTTTTGTTCCATTTACCTTATTGAAACTTCAATTTTTTTTAGCCACAACATTTTTTCTTAAAACAATTATTGCATATAAAAAACATGTCCTGAATCTCGAATATTTTTCTTCATGCATTTTCTCCAACGATGTTGATGGCAACCAGAGGCACCTTATCTGTTCATGGAGCTAGCATTCAATAATTATCTTTGTAACTCAGTAGAGCAAATACCTGGTGTATGAAAGATCTGAATTTCAATCCATGGTGAGGTGCGATAAATATTATGGAAATAGTAAATTAACATGATCCTAGAGAGTCATCATGAACCATGGTATGACAACATGTTCACTGCTAGTGTTTTTCAAATGTGATATTACCGCTATCATGCATCATATGGTTGGTTCCCCTCTACCTACTTCTTCTCGTGTACAGGTCCTCTGTTTCATTAACTTCTGTGATGCCTGCCTCATCTGTGGATGATTTTGCCCATCTCTTCCACCTACAGCCTTTGCTTCTTGCTCTTTTTTCCCCGCAAGAGGGACAGGTACCTTTTTCATAACTCAGGTATGTGACTTTCATTCTTTTTTTTGCTTGTATATCATAATGACTCTTGGATTGCTTTAATTTGTAAACCTCCTGTTTCATTTCCATGTTGACCAATGTCTTCTTTGTCCTCCTCATCTTCATGACACCTTTGCCATGACATAAGGTCGTGAACCTTCTATATTTCTTCAACCCCAATCTCTTGTGTCTGCTTATAGCACTTCTCTTTCTCCTTTGTCTCTTTCTTTCCTGCACTGGACTTGTCTTTGCCTTATTTTTACTCTATTCCTTTACCTTATCTCATCTTTTCATTTCCTCTCTGTGGTGCTTCATCGCAACCCCAATAGTTGTGATGAGATCACCCATTTTTATTTGTTTGCCTCTTTGGCTTTTGGTTTTCCCTTTAATGTCTTTCTTTTGACTTGATCTCTGTTCTTATGATCTCCTCAATCTAATTGCTTTCCTTTCAGGTATCCTCCCCCTTCCTCCTCTATCCTTTGCATTAGTTTTGCCCCTTTCTACACTGCACCAAACATTGGTGGTGTTCCCAGTTCTTTGGGTACTTGGTTGGGGCTGCTCACCAACAATCTTCCTTTGGTTTCCTGTCTCACTAGACCACAGTACTTCAGTTGACTTCCAACATTAGGTGTCCTGTGGGGCTACCCTCATCTCCTATTCCTTTTGGGATCTTATCTAACCTGTATTTTTTATTTAGTTCTATCGATTTTGACGATTGCCAATAACCAAGTGGTGTTATCCTTACCTTTTGCCTCTAGCCTGGCGCTGTTCCCTTTCTATCAGCTGTTTTCTCCTTCTACTTGCTTATGATCATCATTATTCAAACACTCATGCCTTTGCTGTCTTCTGTCCTTTATATCACAAGGATTAATTTATTTATTTCCCAATCACTCCTTTCTTCTTAAGACTTGGGTTGCACGAGAGGGTGATTGGTTATTTTTTCTATCATTTCTCCCTTCTTCTTCCTTGTTAGGCATTCATTTCATTCCCATTAGTTTTTTATGTCCATTTAAGGCTGTTCATTACTATCTTGCTTGGACTTCTCCCTTATGAGGACACCACCACTGTTTGTGTTTTTCCCCATGACTTACCTCCTTCTCTGAGGACGTATCCCCTTCCACTTTAACTGCTTGGGTTTGTCAGCTTATCTGACTGGCATATTCGTTTTTGGGTGAGTCCAACCAACTGCTTTTTTAATGTCACTTCCCTATCAGATTTTGTATATCACATTGTCTCTTGCCTCCCTTCAATGGACCATTGGAAATCTTGCAGGCTGCTATGTGAACTTCACCTGACACATTCACCTCCCACTATTTGGTTTCATGTGCATCTGGTTTTTGCCTCCCTCTGGTTTACCTAGAGGCATTAGTGTGGTGAGTTTTGTCTGTTGATTTTAATTTTCAGTTCCACCACTAATCCATGCCCTAGACATTTTTCATGTCACTACCATCTGAATACTGATATTTTCATACACGTCTACAAAGAATGCAATAAAACACTTGCACAACATGTGGAACTAAACACTACAGTAATTATATTTGATGTCATCAGATCCCATTGATTTGCTGGTGCGGCCTCAGAGAGAATGCTTACCTGAAATCTACATCGAACAGAGGAGTACATAAAATATTAAACTGATCTGCCCCAGCTCAGTGACCACTTGTTGAGATGGGGGTTGTCTGCAAGAATACGTTGATAGTATATCTATATAATTCACTTGGCTGTTTCTACATCTTTTACAAAAAAATATAGCACCAAGTGTAGTCCTGGCTTGTACTTTCTGTATTTAATTTTAGTAACCCATTCCACATTTTCTTGATGGGGACCCAATTCCAGGTGATTGTGCCTGATTACAGTGGTCCTCTTTGGTGTTCTTCCCTATGTATAACCCCTATTTGAAATGTGTTTTCAGGTAAGGAAAATATTAACTTTAGAAATGCTACTTACCTTTCTGTGCCACTAAGAACTAGAATCCCTGGGGCATGGTCTAATGAGTACTGTGCTGGAATGTATAACCAAGGATTCATGGTTTGCATCATGTTGCCGTAGAATCATGCTCTACACTTTGGGGTTTTGGGTACATTTTAAGAGTGACCATAAATCCTACTATTCAGTTAGAGTAACCATTCAGCATGGACTTTTCTGTTTGTTTTTACCCCATTGACTAGCTGCCTTCTTTCTAATCTATCAGTTCAAAATTAGGGAAGGCTATCACAGCTGGCCATTGTGTAGCTTTCAGACTAGTTATAATTGGACATCATTTCCTGAAAAGTTAGGTAAGTTAATAATCTTTATTTCTAACATGACTAATTCCATCTGAAGATGACATTTATGAAACTGATAACTTTGCTAACCTTTTAAGCTCTCATACTGTACTATATTCCATATTATATCCATGGGATTGCCACAATGGCAGCTTTGTTGATCAGTGCTCATAATCATTTAACCCACATTATAGGATAATAAATGTCTAAGTCACGTGACTCTTAAGTGTTACAGATACAAAATTGTCAGGATTTAAGTACGAGGTCAAAATCATGCATATGGCTATGTTCAATTGAACAGTGGTTTTTTTGCATATATTTTAGCTTATATTTATTTTACTATATCATATTTATAAAATTTATTAATTCTAATCAAAAACATAACATACCAGATTGGAAAAGCTTAAAATTACTTAATATTTTATTTTTCATTTTATTCATTACAGGTGATGTTTGGAGAATCGAGTCTTTTGGCTAACCATGTATTTTCGAGTATTCCATCCAGAAGTAAAGAAACTGTACTTTTTAATATATGTTACTATTTTAAAGATAATATAAGGGTTGATTTAGGGTAAGGTTAATGTAATGCAGGGGTCATATAAAATTAATAAATAAACTAATTGTAGAATATGTTTTGAAAATTAATAATATAGAAATCATTGAACAAACAGCTCTTAAAAAAGGTAATTTATAACTTTAAGAGAAAGCAAAGTGCTGATTCTTGTGTTATTGCTCATTGATTGCTCTGCTTATGATCTTAAAATGAATGTAGTGTACATCATTATCATAGGCTGTGGGTGTGGTCTCAGATCTCACGCATAAACAGTCTTTTTATAGTTATCCAAGTCTTTTATATGTTTGAAAGGTTTCTTATAATTGTTTTAAGTTCAAAAACTGTTCAAAGACTTAATTGAATACAAAGGTAGACTAGTGGTGATAAGTTAAACTGCAGATTGCAAATAAAATATTTTAGTAATTTAGATGATATATCTAAAGTAAACTGTTTACAATTTATTTGTGTAATTTTGCAGCACTCTCAAGACTGCTTTCAGCAAGTTACCCAGCATTGGCACAGTATCTTTCATCTATTCAATCAGTTCATGTTGCTGTTGTAAACCTGGAATTTAAAGGAAAGGTGTTGCAAAATGAGGTAATTACTAAGTTATCTTGTCACTGTTAAAGTATTACAAGTATATAAATATCAGTTTTGTACCACACCAAATAAAATTTACACTTTTTATTTGCAATTTAAGGTAATATAAAGGATTTTTTATATCCTTCCAGTCATGCTACTCCATGCTTTTTATTATACTTGTAAGAAGCTATAATTCTTTTTCTATAATATGCTAGGCCAGACATAAAAAATTATTGTGTTTCTGGTAATGGCCTGAAACAATTACATTAGGTAGGTGTGATTTTTTAAAAATATTTGTATGTTTAAGCAACAGTCAATAAAATATATAGGCTATGAAAATATAAGATATTTACTGCAAATGTAATGACTTCATGAGACATTAAAAACATCAATATAAGATTATGTGTTGGTTAACTTTCCCACTCTGCCATAACTAATAAAGAATAGAGTTCTCTGTAGAAGCATATAGATGTTTGAGATTGTCTCTAACTTTATGCCAAGGCACTCATGGTAAATTGAGAGTACAGTTTTGTATTTATTTTTCCAGCTCTCACTGATCATTGACTCAAACTTCTACATCGACAATACGTGTCATTCCTCGAACATGCAGCAATGTAATATGAAACCTCTACAGAGCTTCCACTTCTGAAATTTTTGCAAACATAAGTCTTAGTTTTCAGGTGATGTAATGGATGAACCATGTGTATTCAAACTCATTGAGCAATACTGCAAACAAAGCTGCTGACACTTCATAAGTTATGACTTACAGTAGATAACACTGATTTCCAACTTTCCACACCTTTAATAGTGAATCTAGCTTTCTGTACACTGAATGATATAGGAATATTAGGTTCAAGCTTCTTTTCACCACCTTGGATATCAGATCTGTGGTGTCACATTCTGCTACCTCAGCATGGTGATGTTTTTTCTACCTTAGACTTGAAGGTGAGCCTGTCCACCTTTATGTTTTTTGTGCCTTTAGCCTCATCATATGGCTTGTAGTGATGTCTGTTGGTTCAGGTAGCCTTTGAAATCTGTAATAACATTGGTAGCAATGAACTTTGAGCAAGTTCTGATATATTTTTATATTTTTGGTGTGGTCTTTTCTTAATTCTTTCCATATGGGTATGGGTCAGAGTGCATGTCATTGTGTTTTTTACTTACATTCAAAATTTTATTAAACTACTATTTTAGGGATGTATGTCCATAAACTTGGAATCAAATTGTAGTTTGTAATTCAAATTTGAATATTTACTTTTGAACTAAGAAATTAAATTCTGAGCATCGTAAAATATAAAGTCTACAGTTTTTAATGAATTAGAAGCTGAAATTACCAATATTGACAAGCTAGAATATAAAATTAGATCCTCCTACCATTTCTATTTGCTGAGGTATCATTATATTTATCAAACCCACCACAGTGGCTCTGCCCATGTCTTCCTCTTTTGAAAATACTTGTTTACATATCCCCTTTTCTCTTAAATACATATTTATAACCAATCGAAAGGGCTCATTTTGAACTACATAATCATGTCAGCCTTCCTAAAGTACTTATGTCGACAAAGCCTTTGTAACTGGTCAAGAGACTGGAGAATGATGATCAAGATCAGAAACGAGATTTTTTTAAGACTTAAATACAGCTTTGTTATGAAACCTTATAAATTACAGTGGAAGTTTATGGTATCAGTATAGTAATTTATAAATTTTTGTTATTTCAAAATCCATATATAAAAAACCTGCAAAAACTATTTTTACATCCTCCACATGCAAAATTCAATGTGGTTTAGCAAGTATAGTGCATGAATACAAAAACTTTGTAACTTCATAAGTAGTAGAGATAATTTTTTTTTATATATTTTTTATTTACTGTTTTGTGTTTTAAGAAAAATAACTGAGATTTAAGAATTTATTTGTAATTAGTAATAATTTATATATATATATATACTGTAATGTCACTGTATTTTATAAAATGCTGGTATGTCAGTACTTAGACTAAGAAGGGTAATTTGTACTTTCTAAAGGCCAGTTTTATAATAAACGATACAGTATCTTGAGCTGTACGTGCATTGTTCGATTTACAACTAATGTGGCAGGATTATTAGTTAGACACAGTTCAAAGGTCAATAAAACAAAAAATTAATAAATATAAATAAATGTATACTGTTATGAAATTTAGGCTATTAAGAATAAACATTTGTGGTATTTGTTACAATTTGCAGTCATTTTATAATGAAAAAAAGGTAATTTAGATTTATTTCCTAATTTTTTCTGGTGGTTACGGGGTCGATCAAATTGACCAACTCCACATAGAGTTAAGGTAGAGAAAATAACAAATAAGATATAGTTTTTCTAAAAAAAAAGTTTGATGGTTATTTAGGAGATTATAGAGATTGTGCAAATGAAATTTGATAGATGAAGGTTAAAAATTCTTGGTTAGTTTGTGGATGACTGCCATGCCATTACAGGACTTGATTCTGTTTCAATGAACAATTATTTTCTTTCCAGAGCACAGGTATAAACCTATTTAAATTTGGTATCTCTCATGAGCAGGGTTCATCCAACTGTGGCCAGGTGCACATTGACCAAGAATCACTATACGATTAATTATTTGAATATGCAAATTTATGCATACTTTACAAAATCCAATATGTTTATTTGATAAACTTAATTTAGTAATTTCTTAAAATATCTTTTAAACATGTTTCTAGGTCAGCATTGGCCCAGTCTTTTCTATCACTACTGTACTGCACAAAATAATTTAAGCTGGATCAAGTATCTTTTGTTAGTTCACAATGTGTGCCTTCTGCAACATCTATGAAATTCTGGTTCTGTATTATATTTTCAAACTTTTATTTTTGGATGTTGTCTTTTGATAGTTAAACAGAAAATGGACAGAAGGCTAGGCTAATTCAAAATATACACAAGCCTCATATCATTATTCTCTTTCACATGAATAATGACATGGAACCATGGTGAATATGCCCCTTCCTGTTCTTTTTGTTTTCCATTTGTAAATAAACATTCAATAAAGCATATTAAAAATAGAATAAATCAAAATGAGTTACTAAGTCATAATTTAGGCAGAGTTCCTTCGTACAAATTAGATATAATATTTAAACTTAACTCTCAACACAGGCTCATTCGATTTGACTGATCATGTGACCTCTTTGTACTTGTTTAAAGTCTTTAGTTTTGGTACTATTAACTTTTAATATAGTATATCTTGACAAAATGTGGCTGATTTTCAGTAAACATTATAAGTCTTTCACATACGAAAAATCTTTTTTTTTAGTGAAGTATTTTTAATAAACTAAAAAAGAATATTTGTCCGTGAATATATCGAGTATTCTTTTTTTATAGTTTGTGTGCAAAGTGATTTTTCATGTTAAGATTAAAAATACTTTTACTTCATCTCAAAAATCTCAAATTTCATTTTTGCAATCTAAAACCTCTAAATACATTCCAAATGTTTGTTTTTACTAAAAAATTATATTTTTTCTGTTATTTTCTCTACCCTAATTCCATACAAGGTTGGTCAATTTGATCGATCTCATAACCAAAAAAAAAAGATAGAAATAAATCTAAATTACCTTTTTTTTCTTTCTAGAATGACTTCAAATTATAACATGAAACTATCTTCATTTTAAGTAGCTTTAGACTCATAACAGTATACATCTATTTATGCTTAAATTTTATTGCTTTATTGCTCTTTGAACTGGGTCTAACTACTGTTCATGCCATTATAAGTTGTAAATCACTTGGAGAATCTGTAGGTCACATTATGCTATTGAATGACATTACCCATGAGCTGCTCATGTGTGTGCCTCCTGAAACATATTTATTATATTATTATTATTTATTTTACCTAGCCTAAGCTAAAGAGATCTCTATTTTTACATTTTAGTTACTTTTATAATAATAAATAAAGAATAAATGTGAAAAGCAAGAAATAAAGTACTTACCCAAGTCTTCTTCTTCCTTGTTTTTTTATTTATTTTTTGATGATACTTAATCCTACATTTTTGTACTAATGGTAGTGATGCACTAAATAATTTTTTATTTAATTAAATATAATGTACCAAATAACATAGAATAATAATATGCAAAAGGCAAGCAATTCTAACTATATGACAAGATTCGCTACAAATTCATCCAGGCTAGTCGTTGACTTTCCCTTGGGAATGAATCTTGTACTATCAGAGAAATTGACAATTCTCCATTCTGAAAACAACGTAATATTATACATCATTTGATAGATGAAAACCTTGGCTTTCTGTTCATTATACATAACATAGAATTAAATCTAAGAGAGAACTATTAACAAATCCTGAAAGAGAGGATGTGACAGGTGGGTGTGGCAAGAGGGGTCTGATTTTCTATTTGATGGCTCTATAACAAAGCAAGAAGGCTATAAAAATTGTGGTTTGTCTGAGCAATGATGATTTTATAGTAAGTAATTTATGTTAAATTCCATACTTATTGGACTGGCGGTGAATAAAATAGAAAAGAGAAATGCCTAGAGAAAATATGTCACATTTCTCACAGTAGGGGAAATTCAGGATTTTTTTAAATATTGTCTTATAAAATTATGAACTTAAAACTTGTATATTATTAAAATATAGATTATCAACTACGATTTTATGCTATACTAATTGGTATAACTTAAACAAAATGTAGTTTAATAAAATTTTGAATGTAAGTCACTAAAACTTTGTGACATGTGCAGTAAATGATGCCCAGACAGATAGGGTTAAAGGAGCAAGATCTCCTTACCTATTGATTGAAAATTAGACATTTTGTAAAATTTGTACTAAATAACAAGTAAAGCCTTATTTTAATATCTTTGTATATTTATCAAATCGATCTCCATTTGGCATTTTGCTACATAAGCCTAAAGCATAATATCACTAGGATGAGTATGGCACACAACTAGATCTAGACTAGTTCTAACTTCAAACATTACAAGCAGTCATTTTAACATTCAGGTGTATAACTGTGAGTTGTAGATCAACATC